ATATATATATATATATATATATATATGGCTGGCTACCTATATAACATTTTGATAAGGAAATATTAAATAATTAATGCATATGGCTGGATAGCATATGTTACAAATATTTAATTATAAATACAAGAGTGCTGATTTTTATTATGTTAAAATATTTTATTATAAATACAGGAGTGCTGATTTTTATTATGTTAAAATATTTAATACCATTGTGTTGATTTTTATTTAATGATAAACCTAGCGGTGCTAATTTTGCAGGAACATTAAATACCCTGTGTTTTTTATAGAACAATAGTCTTCGGCTCTAATAGGTGGAAGCTACTTTGCTCCGAAAATTTTAGTTCCTGTATTATATTTGTATATTTATTTATATATATATATATTTTTACAGATGTTATTGAAGGCTTAGCTGGGGGAAAGGTTGAGCTTCCGTGTAATATGACCTCCACTCCAGTGGACGACAAAGCTGTGCTAGTTCTCTGGTACAAAGATAAGGTACTGATACCTGTCTATACGTTTGATGCAAGAACAGGTCCACTTTGGCAAGGACGGCACTCATCAAGCGACCATTTAGCAGGACGAGCTTACCTTACCACAGTGGATAGACCAGCCAAACTTATCATTGAACCGCTAATGCTTCAGGACGATGGGTCGTACCGTTGCCGAGTGGACTTCAACAGAACAAGGACACGCTACACTGACAGCATCTTAAAGGTCATTGGTCAGTGGTCAGTGGTATCATGATGTATTTCTTGGGCATCGACTGCTATGAAAGACTTTTTTTAGTATAAAAGGGAATAAAAGCGAACTGCTCTTAGTGGACAAGCATACGTATAAACATACTTTTAAGTTAACACAAACTAGTATTAACCGAACATTTTATTGACTCATACATAACCTTCAATATTTTAGTTACACAAATGAAAAACTACGCTATAACAAACTTTTTATTGAACTATATCAATTAAATCTAGATATATTTTATTTATCTTATTTTAAACGTACCTACACAGTATATTCACAGTATGTGTGTGTCCACCCTTCTCATAACGATTTTAATAAATGTTCTAAAATTTAATCTTTCACGGAAAGGGATTATCTAGGTAAAACTTAATACATTATTGGTTATAAAATTAGGTTATGAGCTACACAGTATATTCACAGTATGTGTGTCCACCCTTCTCATAACGATTTTAATAAATGTTCTAAAATTTAAGCCTTTCACGGAAAGGGATTATCTAGGTAAAACTTAATACATTATTGGTCATAAAATTAGGTTATGAGCTACACAGACCATTCCAAAATAAATGTTTATAGACCACTGGTTAAAGAGCAATTAATAAACAAAAGTTAGAAATAAAACCTGTTGTTAAAATAAATAGGAAACAAAACTATTAGTATTTTAACATTACTCTTTTTCACAAGAAAAAAATCGCTTAAGCACACGATAAATCAAATATGAGGGTGCTAAAAATATAAGATAAATAAAGCACAATGAATCATTCTACTCACTAAAAACACCATAAATTCTATAAGAAAAGGTCTTGCCTAATGATTCCATATGGAGATAAACATTTCAGACAAATAGCTCATGATTTGATTGTTTGTTTGTTTTTTGAATTTCGCGCAAAGCTACTCTAGGGCTACCTGCGCTAGCCGTCCCGAATTTAGCATTGTAAGACTAGAGGGAAGGCAGCTAGTCATCACCACCCACCGCCAACTCTTGGGCTACTCTTTTACCAACGAATAGTGGGATTGACCGTCACATTATAACGCCCCTTCGGCTGACAGGGCGAGCATGTTTGGTGTGACGGGTATTCGAACCCGCGACCCTCAGGTTACGAGTCGAGTGGCCTTAACCACCTGGCCATGATTTGAAGTATATAGTAAAACCACAAAGCATATCTTACTGTTTCAGTGTAACTATAGCCTCAGGAAGAACGATGTTTCCTCGAATCATAAAAATAATATAGGTACATAGTTTCAAATACATATTTTACACATAAACAATTCCCAAGAAACTTATGGTTTAACACAGATTAAAAGCAGGTGGATTTTCGCAATTAGTATTATAAACTAACAATAGCACGAAGCTATTCGAATGATGTTTACAAAACTATAATTTGTTTCTGAATTATGTTTACCAGTATGAAATGAACATTTAAACACATCGTGTGATACATGTGCAAATGGCATTGTATATAGTTTATGTTTAAAAATTATGTTTATGTCTAAAACGAACTTGTGAAATGAAAGCCTAGAATACAGTCAACATCGAGAGTATCTAATATTTTTATTCACAACCTATGATTAGTACACGACGTAGTTTTCTGAAGTAATAAGTATTTCTGGTAAATATTTTTTTTTATTGTTTGTTCAATTTCGTGCAACTTTACGCGAGGTTTGTCTGCGCTAGTCCCTACTTTTCAGGTGATAGACTAGAAGCAAAGCAGTAGTTTATGCCAATCTTTGAAATACTCTGTTCAGATAAATAATAAAATTTGACTTTCACTCTTATAACACTCTCCTGGCTCCAAAATGCGAGGGAAACGAGAGCCACTGAACCATACATCTACGTTCCAGCATGCTAACCACTAGGCCACATTCGGCCCCTTTATGTATATATTGTACGGTCTGTTTGTTCATTGTAGCAGTATTTAGCAAAGGTTGCACATCAGAAAAGTAGAGTGTTCATAAGAGTTTCTGCATCTATTGTTTGTGATTTAACAACATCCCAACTAGTAAGCCTTTTCGAGAGACTTTGTGAAATTCACAGGCCGTAGCGTACGGAAAACGCGAGCAAACAAATACTCACGAAATATTAACAATACGTTTTTTTGTATGTTTATTCTCTACTTTCATAAATAGCTGCCAGTTTTGTATTTACCTATAGATGACAGGAAAGCTGCAAAAATCCATTCTTCGTTTAAGAGACTGCTACTAGAAACGTCAAATGTCTCTAGGTGGGCCAGCGGGTAAGATTACGAACTTACAACGCTAAAGTTCGATTAGCCGAGCATCGGTTGTCCGCTGTGTATATCTGCGTTTTTTTTTGTGTGTTTGTGTTTTGTTTTTGCTTAGTTATTAAGAAACATTAGACATGGCGTGCAACACGTCTAGTCTCATCATTTACCGTAAACGTGATGACAAAATCTTGCCAATCGCTCTATCTTCTGTTACTGCTATTAGCGACAGATAAATAGCCAGTACAGTGTTTGTTGTCGGTAGCAGGCTAAAAACTGTAATGAATTTCCATTACTAGCAACTAATATAGGTAGGATCGTGTGGAAAACAAGTGAGTGGAATGTCATTATTGTGTGACTGATATGTTCGACAGTTGAGAGGGTTCAAATCACAATAACGAAATAGTTATTTTGGCAGAGGAAAATAACAGGAAAATAAACTGATGCAAATGCAAATAACTGACGAAAATCTTTATAACAGAAAAGAGAAATGTTTCGCGCCCACGATCTTCATAGGTTTTATTAATAATTCGCCAAATCGAATGATCCGAAATAAGACTAGCAGATTATTGTAATGTTTAATGAGTTAATAATGAATGATGTGAAAAACAACTAGTTTAAACGTATTTAAGTATGACTTATTTCGTTGCAAGTTTATTGATCCGAAGTAGCCCATGGAGTAAAGCTAATGTGTAAGTCAAATACGTTGCAGCTGTATAAATATATTATCATAACACTATACGTCATTTTTATCCGTTTTAGGCTAGAATACGTATCATGTAAACCGTTAAACACAACTTACATGTTAAAAAACACATCGTTATAGTATTTGAATTTACATGGATGTTTACTAACATTATGGCAGTATATATGACATTTAGGTAATTTCGAAACACAAATTAAATCGCCAGCGAAAAATGACGAATATTAATACCATTTTATTTGTATTACCTAACATGTATTTTTTTGTAAGGATTTGTTTGTTTTGAATTTCGCGCAAAGCTACACGAGGGCTATCTGCGCTAGCCGTCCCTAATTTAGCAGTGTAAGACTAGAGGGAAGGCAGCTAGTCATCACCACCCACCGCCAACTCTTGGGCTACGAATAGTGAGATTGACCGTCACATTATAACGCCCCCACGGCTGAAAGGGCAAGCATGTTCGGTGTGACGGGGGATCCGAACCCGCGACCCTCAGATTGGGAGTCGAGTGCCTTAACCACCTGGCCATGCCGGGCTTTTTGTAAGGATTGAAGAAGAAACATGCTGGGAAAAAGTACTCAACTTTATATGATTAATTTCTGTTGTACTATTTGTCAACAATTCGAAGTTATAGTATTTGTATCTAATTGTGCAATGCGGAAAAGAACTTACAAAAGAATACTATTAAACGTTTCCTTGGTATTTAAATATGTTAATAGGACCATTTTAATAGGAAGAATACATAGATTTTGTCAATTTTGTTTTATTTTATGATTCTGCTTAACGTCTTACACATTACAAAGTTTATAAATAAGATAACGAAATTGTATCTAACACATTTTAACTGATTCAGTAATATTTGCCAACTTCAATTGCGTATAACAGAAAATATTGGTTTAAAGATGCTTGCAAAAGAACAAATTTCGAGTGCAGTTTTTTTTTTTTTTTTGTTAC